TAAATTTTTTTTTCCAACGTTTATTTATTTTTGGGACAGAGAGAGACAGAGCTTGAACGGGCGAGGGGCAGAGAGAGAGGGAGACACAGAATCGGAAACAGGCTCCAGGCTCTGAGCCATCAGCCCAGAGCCCGACGCGGGGCTCGAACTCACGGACCGCGAGATCGTGACCTGGTTGAAGTCGGACGCTTAACCGACTGCGCCACCCAGGCGCCCCGACAAAAATCAGAATCTTAAAAGATTGTGATAGCCTGAAACAGATAGTTAACACCAGCAAGATGGAATTGAGTCAGGACAAACGTCAAGTCCTATATACAACTGATTTCACAAGTAAGCTGTAGTGTAAGTAAGCAGTGTGGTGTGGTTGCCAAATAAGCTCAGGTAATCATGGACTGTTGTGTTACAGAAAAATGTTTAGAAGTGGAAGATTAGCAATAGTCTCCAATTTATTCTAGATTCCTCAATCTCAGTCTGTGTCTACAGTATTATGTTATGGATATCACTATTTGGTGACACTCTTGGGAGGCACATTAGTTTGCCAGTATCAGAGAAAGAATGATTAGCCAGGTTTAGAGAACAGCTAAATCCTGAGCATTGTGTGGAGTATATGAAGTGCTGTCATCTGGGGAAGAAAATCTATAGTTATTGTAGAATTTTTAGGGAATTAGATTTTGGCTTCAGTATTTTCTACTTAAGAAATGTTTAAGAATAAAGCAGGCTGAGGAGGTAGTGGCTTTGCTGCTGTGGGAAGAGTTAGGACTGAAAAACCACTTGTGAGTTAGATTCCAAATCTGAGATTGCTAAATTTGGGGGCATTTGGTGACTGACTGGCTACGACGGCAGGAAAAAGTGACTTGAGATTTTAAGCCTAGATGGTGGGAATATTCTGTACTGTACAACTCCAGTTTTGGTGTTCTGAAAGAGTGAAACTGTATTGATTCATGTTCAAAGTTCATCTTTGTTTTATTTGGTCACCTCACTATGATACTGAATCTGGAAGATAGATTCTTTAAAAATGTTTATCTTATTTATATATTTTAAAGTTTATTTATTTTGAGAGAGACAGAGAGCAAGCAGGGGAGAGGCAGAGAGAGGGAGACAGAATCCCAAGCAGGCTCCATGCTGTCAGCACACAGCCTGTTGGAGGGCCCAGACTTAGAAACAGTGAAATCCTGACCTGAGCCTAAACCCAAGAGTTGGGACGCTTAACCAACTGACTGAGCCACTCCACCGACCTTAATGTTTATTTTTGAGAGAGACGGAGCACGTGCCGAGCTGGGGAGGGGCAGAGAGAGGGAGACAGAGGATCTGACTGACATCAGATCTTGGCTGATCTTGGCTGACAGCCCGATTTGGGGCTCGAACTCACGAACTGTGAGATCATGACCTGAGCCCAATTCGGACCCTTAGCCAACTGAGCCACCCAAGTGTCCCTGAAAGCTAGATTTTTTAAATATCTTAACATCACCGCCCAACTTCCTTGTTGGAAGGCATCACGTTTTTTTTTTGTTGTTGTTAATTTTGATACTGTGATAGTGTCCTGATGTATTACCTGTTGAGAGTTAGACGATTTATCAGCATTACATTAGAATCTGTGTTAAGGTTCAGAACAGTTTCAACATGCCCTTCTGCCACTCATCTCACTGTTACCCACCTGCTGGGGTGCAACGTTTGTGAATTTATGGTGATAGATTGGTCTTAAAATTATTAAAGAGTGAGAACCGTTAAATAATTCAGATGCACATAAAAATGCATGTTTAATAGGGCACTGCTTCAAGAAATGCTTATTGCTGGGTACGGTGTACTTTTCCCCCCTTCTCTTAAGTAGTCTCTACACCAGATGTGGGCGTAATCCCCCGACCCTGAGATCAAGAGTTGGATGCTGTGCTTTACTGAGCCAGCCATGCGCCCCTCTGGGTACTCTTGCTTTTTTGGACAATATGCCCAGAGGGTCTCCTTTGCCCCTTTAATGATTTATTTTAATTGAAGAGCCAGTTTACTCTCTGTGTGTTAGCTCTAATTGTTTTATCTTTTTTTAATTAAAAAAAATGTGGATGAAGCATTATAGTTTAGTTTAGAAGTCCCAATAAATCTTCGTGTCACTTATACTGTTTAGAGACCACAGTCATCCTAAATAACCTTCTATCTATCCAGGATTGGTAAACCTTATTAGCAGGGCAAGTGATGATGAATTAGAAGTGAAGAAGCTTTTCTTCTGTAAATAATAACAGAAACAGTCATTACTACTTTGAAGCAGAATTGTTAAATGTTGATGGACGTGTTATAACTAAGAATTCTATTTTTTTAACAAGTTTTTTTTTGTTTTGTTTTTTTTTTTTTGAGAGAGGGAGACAATGCGTGCAAGCAGGGGAGGGGCAGAGGAAGAGAGAATCTTAAGCAACACACACCCAAGTGCAGAGCTCATAACTGTAAGATCATGACCTGAGCTGAAATCAAGTCAGATGTGTAACCAGCTGAGCCACCCAGGTGCCCCACAACTTTTTTTTTTTCTAAGTTTTTTAAAACTTAGATTTAGATGTTTCCTTATAGTAAACAGGTCTAGCTCTTAGAACTTTTGGAAAATGAAAAACACAGAAGGAAAACTATGCCAAGTTCTGTCATCTTCAGAATAACTCTTATTTTCACATTTGAATATTATGTATTTTTTTCTGTTTTTCTGATATCTTAGTTTTTGTCAACTCCTGGGGTTACAGATTAGATCAAATTGAAAGCCATTGATTTGTCATTAAGGTTGTGTTCTGATGCTAGATTATTAAAATCTAGGGAATGCACGTGTCTTAAAAGTAATTTGTGTTTCTTAGATTAATTTATTTGTTATAAGGTATTGTAGTCTACTTGTTCATAATCCCATACAATGATGGATTCAGCCATAGCACTACTGTTTGCAGGTAATCTATATATTTCTAGTTTTAAGAGGTTTTTGGTCTTAATATAAATGCCATGGGGGAAAAAGTTGTGGCAGGCTTTTTCAGCCTCAGTACTGTTGATATTTTAGATCTGATAATTCTGTTTTACTGGGCTATCCTCTGAATTGTAGGATATTTAGTATCATCTCTGGCCTTCGTACCCACTAAATAACCAGCAGTAAGCCCACATCCCTAATTGACAACCAAAAATGTCTCTAGACATTGTCAAATGTCCCCTGGGGAGCAAAATCACTCCTTTTAGAACTGTTGGTTTGTGTTAAGCGTAGAAGGGTGTTTTGTTGACCTGTTTTTTAGGATGTAGGTATTGCACAGTGAGCTCAAATCTGGAGTTTGGATGATGGAAGTTTCAGAGAAAGCATTTTATTCAGCGGCTTAGCAGTCTAAAAGCTGTTTGAGAACTCAGGTGTAAGTAGCTAAGATTTTAGTGTTGTGGAGAGAAGGAGGACATACTAGGAATTTTAGGATAAACTTATGTGATGTCCAAGTATTTGAACTTTATCTAGTGGTGATGGGGAGTCATTGAGTTTGTTTTCAATAGGCAAAAACTGTCATCTCTTTTTTTGTTTGTTTTGTAAGTAGGCTCCATGCCCAGTTGTGGGGCTCGAACTTATGACTGTGAGATCATGAGTTGCATGCTCCACTGACAGAGCCAGCTGTGCACCCTTGTCCTCTTTCCTTTTTTTTTTTTTTTTTTTTTTTTTAAAGTCTCTGGCATAAGTGTAGAGAATATAAATAATCCTGGGATCATGATGACCAGAGACTTTGATAGCACGAATTGAATCAGTGAGGTAGAAAGTACAAAGCCGTTTTGAAGTGGAGGAAGGACATTTGAATTTCATGTTAGATTTTGAGTATCTGGAGATGGAGAAAGGGACAGGGAGGAATTGATTTTCTGACTTACTGTATACTTTCTTGTCTTGCACCTGATGTACCTTTAATGCAAGAATGGAAGAGGAGAGGTGCCTGGCTGGCTGAGTCAATGGAGCATGCAACTAGATCTCAGGGTTGTGAGTTCAAGCCCCACATGGGGTATAAAGCTTACTTTCAAAATGGGAGAGGAATGGTTTCACTTTGGCTATAAGGCTGGCCTATAAATTGTATGGAAATTTATGTTGATTCTTTAGTGTTTATAGCTCCACTTGCACATACTCAAAACAGATTTTGAGGCCAGGTGTGGGGGATTAATCAAATTGTAACTGCTGCTACCATTATTGCTAACATGAAATTTTGAGGTAGTTTTAACTGTGTAATATAAATAATTCACTTTCCCTGATAACTTGAATATTTTTGAACTTCGGTTTGTAAATCATACTGATTAGTAGATTTGTGACTTTGACAGATTGGGTTTTGCCTGTATAATAAATATCTCATCCTTCTATGGGGTATGGGTTACACGAAGACTTGACTTTTTACTGTAGTTTTATAGTTGCTTCTATATGTGCACCCTAATCAGTCCACTTATTTTTTTTCAACCTTGTTGTAGGTTTGTTGAAAATGAAATGGGGAAAAAAGTAGGGTTGGATTCAGGAAAAGAAGGTTCTCTCCTTTTAGACTTATATTTGAAGCTGAAAATCCCTTATTGCAACTTCTTACAAGAGTGAAAGGGAGATGGAAAAAAATAGATTTGATGCTGGTTAACAGAAAGGCAGAAAGCTTGTTTGTATTTGAATCCCATTTCTCTTGCATGAGGATAACTGGTTGCCAGGATGAATTTAAGTAGAAATTAAAGTATTGTGGAATCAGCAGTTTTGAATTTAAGCTGCTCATAGACCGGATTCCTAACTTACCAAGTTTCCTAAGTTTCAAGGATTTAACAAATTTTTGCATTAATTTAATTCATAAACTTTTTAAGTGTTTTGTCAGTGTAATCTTCATATCTGTCGCAGATTACAATTTCCTCTTACGTATGCTAACTATATTTTTAAAGGATAAAAATACTTGATAAACATAGCATTGAAATTTGCCTAAAAAGTTGCATCTTTGTTTATAATCATTTATAATAAAATATTTTGTAAGTATTTTAAAAATATGGTACACTTCTTCCCCTTTCAGTATAATAATCATGAAATTCGTTCTGGAAAACACATTGGTGTCTGCATCTCAGTGGCCAACAATAGGCTTTTTGTGGGCTCTATTCCTAAGAGTAAAACCAAGGAACAGATTCTTGAAGAATTTAGCAAAGTAACAGGTAAGTTGGATTTATGTGGAAGGAGATGCACTTCTAATACTGAAGGTAATTGCATACTTCTGCATGTCAAGCACTGTTACAAACACTACATTTATTGACTGGCATTCTTACTCCCAACTGTGGGAGATAGGTAGCTCCATTCTGTATTTTGTAAGTAAGATCAGGAAAACAGGTACTGAGGGTTTTGGGAAATAACTTGCTGAATGCTGTGTAGTTCTTAAGGAATGCAGTTGAGATTTGAACTATCTGCAGAATCTGTGCATCTCGTTTTGGAATCTGTGTGTTCTATGCATTTTTAGGTGCTAGCTTGACATTCTTAGTGGGATTATTTCCATAATGATTAGATTTTCTAAATTATTGGAATGGTAAGTATTTTTATAAGCAAGAGATTATATAATCAATGTCAGTATGGTGTAATTTCTTTGAAATCTAAAGCATTTTTTAGAATAGTGACCAAATCAAGCTGCTTTTATTATTTTATTGTTTTGTCTGCCTAGAATATTTAGCAGATTATCAGACTGTTACCAGTCTCCAGGAACATTCAAAATCTTACGTGATACTAATATCTCATTTGAAATAGTTACTGATATCTGAGGCCAGGAAAGTGCCATCAAAAGGAATTTTAATGTTTATTTACATAATGAGAAAAGTGTCTAACCATATGTGACTTACACTGCCATTTTTATAATTGTTATGTAAAAATTTTATGCCCCTTGTCATTTAATGGAAGAATAGTCCTTGGGTCTAATTAAAAAGAATACATTTTTTTTCATGGGGATTTTTGTGTTGAGAACACTTGGAAGGTGTGTGTATTAGGTCAGTTATCTGGACCAATGTTTTTGAGAGTCCTCTTCAAAGAAAAGAGATTATTTTTCATTTTTATATTCAAGTATTAGAAAAATCCTTTGATCTTTTTTTTTCTTATTTTACCTAATTTTTCTGGAATGGTTGCTTATTTTCAGAGGGTCTCACAGACGTCATTTTATACCACCAACCAGATGACAAGAAAAAAAACAGAGGCTTTTGCTTCCTTGAATATGAAGATCACAAAACAGCTGCCCAGGCAAGGCGTAGGTTAATGAGTGGTAAAGTCAAGGTCTGGGGAAATGTTGGAACTGTTGAATGGGCTGATCCTATAGAAGATCCTGATCCTGAAGTGATGGCAAAGGTAATGACAGTCAGTTTTTTTTGATGGGTTGGTGGCAAAAGGGATTCGGGAGGCTTTAGAGAAGTAAGAAACTTATAAAATGAATTGTATACTTTTCACAAAACCACGTTTTTGAAAGTGAGAGAAGTGTTCTTTATTAAGGCCACACATCAGAAATAAAACCAAGTGCATAGAGAGTAAATATAAAAACTTATTTGTGGACACTCGATCATAATTGTGTAGCTGTCATTCTCATGATGATGAGTAGTTAGCCTACATGCTGTGGAAGTAATAATTCACCATCAGTTTTGTGTGTATTCTAAGAGCAATTTTTGCATTTTTGAGAATGGCGCCATTAGCTTTCATGGTTTTTGTGTTAAAAGTCCTACTCCTAAAAATAGTGAACTGTATTGGCCTCAGCAGAGCTGCTGCAGTTACAAGGTTTAGCTATTATTAGGTATCCTGCTTCAGCAGTCAGTTGAGACATCCTATGAGAACAAACATCTCTTGAGTCAACACTTTACTCACTAGTGCAGTTCTAGTTAAGTTATTCTACTCTTTGTCATTTAAGAAACCCTCTTAATGGTGATAGGCTAGCAAATACAGCTCATTCACTTAAATCAAGAAAGTAGTGTGAATGCCAGAACTATGAATATTACTAAAGGATAAGTAGTCTTGAGGACAAAATACTTCATATTATTTTTTCCATTGGCCTATTAAGTTCTTACTGGATTTTTAAATTCAGGTGTTATTTCAGGTATTTTAGGAGGAAATGATGTTTCCTAACAAAGGGTCAACTTTTATAACTGTACTTTGAGGCGATTTCTGGATTGAAAGAATTTGTCAGTATTTTGAATGCTCCCTCCCTTCTTTATCCACCTTTCAGAAGCAGATTCTAACTAGTTTTGACCACCTGTGTTAAGTGTTCAACAACTACCTCAAGGCATGGAATTCACATTAGTAGGAAATGACCACCTCCATCTTTGATTACATTGATTACAAAGTAATTACTAATTTAATAAAAACTGTTAAGCGTTGTTTGCTTTATTTTGAAAAACTTACAGAGTTCTTATATACTCTCAAGTCCATAGTTCATGTTAGGATTTATTCTATTGTACGTTTTATGGGTTTGACAAATGTATGATATGCATTCATTATAGCATCATACAGAATAGTTTTACTACCCTAGGAATCCTCCCTGATTCCCCCATCCCTACCATCCCCACCATCCCCTCTAACCCCTGACAACTATTGATTTTTTATTGTCTCCATAGTTTTGCCTTTTCCCAAATGTCCTATGGTTGGAATCATACAATATGTAGCTCTTTAAGATTATCTTCTTGTACTTGGTTACATGCATTTAAGATTCCTCCATGTCTTTTCATGGCTTGATGGCTCATTTCTTTTTAACACCAAATAATAATCCATTGTCTGGAGGTACTGCAATTTATCCATTCACCTACTGAAGAACATTTTGGTTCCAAATTTTGACAGTTATGAATAAAGCTGCTGTAAACAACCATATGAGGTTTTTATGTGGACATGTTTTCAACCCATTTGGGTAAATACCAAAAAGTGCAATCATCAGATTGTATGGTAAAGTATGTTTAGTTTTATAAAAAAACTGAACTGTTCTCCACAGTGGCTGTACCATTTTGCATTTCCACTAGCAGTGTTTCTGTTCCATATCCTTACCAGCATTGGGTGGTGTTAGTGTTGGGTTTTGGCCATTCTAATAGGTATGTGGTGGCATTTCATTGTTTTTGTTTTTAAAGAGATTTTTAAAAACTACTCTCTACACCCAGTGTGGGGCTTTGAACTTAAAACCCCGAGATCAAGAATTGTGTGTTCCACCGACTGAACCAGCCAGGTGCCCCTCATTGTTGTTTTTATTTTTTTTAAACATTTTTTTTTTCAACGTTTATTTATTTTTGGGACAGAGAGAGACAGAGCATGTGAGCGGGGAGGGCAGAGAGGGAGACACAGAATGCGTCCGGAAACAGGCTCAGGCTCGAGGCCATCGTGAGAGCCCGGCCAGCGGGGCTGAACTCATGGACCCCTTGAAGATCGTGACCTGGCTGAAGTCGGACGCTTAACCGACTGCGCCACCCAGGCGCCCCTCATTGTTGTTTTTAAATGCAGTTCTCTAAGGATGTCAGGTTGAGCATCTCTTCGTATGCTTGTATCTTTGATGAGGTGTCTGTTCAGGTTTTTCACTCATCAGATCTAGCAGTCATTCCTCGGTTTTTACTCAAATGAGTTGAAAACTTAGTCATATTATATTTCTGATACTTGTCTAATGGGTAATGACTAAAACTATGTATGGTGGGTGGGGTGGTGGCATCCCTGGAAATTGAACCCTTTGGAAATACACAGAGAATTTCTGTTTTTTTCTTAATTTTCAGGTAAAAGTGCTGTTTGTACGTAACCTTGCCAATACTGTAACAGAAGAGATTTTAGAAAAAGCATTTAGTCAGTTTGGGAAACTGGAACGAGTGAAGAAACTAAAAGATTATGCCTTCATTCATTTTGATGAGCGAGATGGTGCTGTCAAGGTAAAAGAACTATTGTAGGCATCTAAATTAAACTAATGATTTTTAGTCATTCTAGTATCAAGAGTATTCTAAAAAGTTGAAGGACACTAAGAGGTCATGTAATCTACTCCAGTTAACCTTTATTGGCCTTAGCAAATTGTATAACTCACTAAACTAAGTCAAAAAGTTAATTAGTTGAAGAGCTGGATCTTTAGAAAAAATCTAACAGTCCTATTGGATCTTATCCTTCCAACACTAATGAAATGATTTTTTGACTTCAAATGAATTAAAATTGTTAAAGTCCTCTCTGTTGATGAGTACCTCATTTTTTAAGGCTATGGAAGAAATGAATGGCAAAGATTTGGAGGGAGAAAATATTGAAATTGTTTTTGCTAAGCCACCAGATCAGAAAAGGAAAGAAAGAAAAGCTCAGAGGCAAGCAGCAAAGAATCAAATGTAAGTGAAAATTGTCTAAATTTAAAATGTTGGTAGATTAATGAAAAACAAGTATTGCTCAAACCTGTTAAATAATTGCATAACATGCCTTTATTTCTGAAAGAATACTTGAAAGCTTTGAGCCACTGAGAAATGCCCAGAATTTCAAGAAATGTGTATTGAGCTGTTGCTATTGGTCATACTTGTGAAAATAATCATAATTCTAAATAACTAGAGTTCTGTGTAATAAATGAAAATCAGTCTAGGGTATTTCCTGCTATGTTTTACAGAATGTGCTCCTGAATTATATGTTTTAAATATTAGCTGTCCACAAGCGTTCATATATTTGGTTAAAGGATGGAGAGTTTTTTCCCTCAGAGGTAGAAAATATTAAATCTCCCAATTATGATAAACTCTGCTTCCTCTATATCTGAAAGAGGCTTTTTAACCAATACATAGTGCCTGTTGCCATCTCAGAGATTTCATATATGGGTTTTGAAAAATGAAAAAGAGTATAGTTAATCAAATAACATAGTATTGAGGTAAAAAAACAACTAAGTGTAATGTATTGCATAAATTGGATCTTTCTAGAGTATCTGTTAAAGGATATCTGCTCATTAACAGTGAATGAAACTTTTAGCTGGGTAAGAATGAAGTTTACAATTTAAAAACTTGAAGTTGGTAATTAATTTCTGAGGAGGAAGATGGATAATTGCTATTTGATGCAAGAACAAGAATCACTGAACTT